TTGTGGACATTAATGGATCGATGTGTGTTGTTTGGGATGTTTGAGCAAAAAGTTTCTTTTACAGAACGTGAAAGAACAAGTGAAAGAAATGAAAACTAAAAAAAAGAAGCAAAATAAATTGAAAGTTATTCCGGTTTGTAACTTCAGCTGTTTGTTTTTGGTATCTTACGTATAATGTTACAACTGTTTGTTTTGGTTTGTGTATAATACTCCAGACTAAATTATCATGGGTTGGCGAACCGCTGAAACATGAAGATAAAAAATGTTATTACAGTTGCGTGAAAGTAAACGATGAAGAGGTCAGTGCCTGCACAATTTATGTAGCTGGGTGGACCTGGGAACTAGCGTAGTTTATCTGTAAAGGGGGTGTATTCGGAAACCAGCGGAGTGTACCTGGGAACTGGCGGTGTGCAGTGAACTCTATAAATAACTGGAAGGCTAATTTTCCCGCCATTTTCGAAGGCGGCGCCGCAGGCGGGGTGTACCTGGGAACTAGTGAAGTGTACTTGGGAACAAAACAGTACATTTTTGTGGGGCTTCTAATTGCCCAGATTTTTGTGAAAATTTGTCTTATAAAATAATGTACATTTCTTTGAAGTTTAATGAAATAAAGGTCAATTAATAAATAGATATATTGTTGAAAAATTACTTAAAGTAGTTAATAATATAGTGTTGAATAAAAATGAAAGACGCCCAGTTGCATAATCTTGCTGTGCTAAATTTAAGATAATTGTAATGCTGCAGAACTGATTTATTTCATGATAATTATGACGCTTTTATCTATCATGAAGTACATTGCTCTATAAGGTAATTAACTTAATAATTTTATTTAAGATTTTCTATTCAAGATAAATTAGGTTGAAAGTGGGTTCACTTTAGACTTAATGGATGTTTACCTTAAATTAAATGAATTATTTGTCAACATTAGTTTCAATTCTCCATTTACTACCATTTAATTCTAATTCATTATACATCAACTAAAATTAAAAGGTAGTTAATGGAAAATTGAAACATTTTAAGGTTGATTTAAATTACTAGTCAAAACGCAGTATTTTTTTAAAACCTTGCACTATCGTTGGATCCCTAGTTTATACAATACATGTCTCATTACTGCTTAAGGTCAACATTGGCGACTACGTCAAACTGTGTCCAAATGACCCAAGAGTGCCGCTGTACATATGTAACGTCGTATCAATGTGGGAGGATTCCAAAGGGGAAAATGTTTCATGGGCGATGGATGAGGTAGGAAGACTAAGAACGAACATGTTAGATTTGTTTGAACAATCTCGTTTCTTCTGTCAAATGATTATCAGATTATCGAATTATTCATGTAAAATGGCTAAATCCACTCTCTTTTCAATGATTTTAGTCGTAGTAACGAAACCGTCCTTGGAAATACAGGAGATCCTATGGAATTGTTTATAGTTGATCAATGTGATGATAATCCTTTGGGCTCTATACTCTCGAAATGTTTTGTAAGAATTTCTCTTTTGCTGAAAATAATGATTCATCCAGTGTTATATGAGATCAATGATGATTCATCCAGTGTTATAGGAGATCAATGATGATTCATCCAGTGTTATATGAGATCAATGATGATTCATCCAGCGTTATAGGAGATCAATGATGAATCATCCAGTGTTATATGAGATCAATGATGATTCATCCATTGTTATATGAGATCAATGATGATTCATCCAGTGTTATAGGAGATCAATGATGTGTATCTGTGTAGGTTACTTACAAATCTCCTGGTGATGATTGGTTTAGTAAAGGGGGAGAGGAAGTGAAAGACAGTGAGACCGCTGAGGACGATGGGAATCATTTTTTCTATCAGATGTGGTGAGCCATATAAATATAAACACGTTCCTTGATTGATAAGTATGGTCTCCCCGTGTTATCTTGGTACGAGTGTTGAGCTTTGATGTAACTATTGATTTCAACATTCTCCCCACGATATTTTTATACGTAGGTTTTGGACGATTTGAACAACAACCCGAATACTACGGTAAAATGAGAGAAAATCGGGCTGCATCAGTTGTTTGAGGCAAGAGAAAATTTCCCAGGTATTTTGCCGTATAACCTTTACCTGCAGTGGCGGATAACAAATTACGAGGCCTGTAGGCTATGACAAAGTTAAAGGCCTTTAAGATATCTATTCCTTCCACTAAGTTCAGTTTTCCTTTTCCTTTCCATTTCCTGTTAGTAACCCTATAAGGTAAAAAATTGGGAAAATTCTTTTTAAAGTTAAACGAAATTTCAAAAATGATTGACATGGTCAGGGAAATAAGAAAAGTCGATACTTCATGAGCTCCGAACATTTAGCATTTGAACAGTAGATCGCACGAAAGTCATTTTCCCTCTGCATTCAATTGCTCGTAAGGTTTCAACAGCGTTAATTATCTAAGTTAAGCACATTTAGCCAGCCCGCAATAGCAAAAACGTTCAAATCCTAATTAAGTCCAGATACAACGGGCCTATCAAAAGCCTGGGCCTATAGACTTAAGCTTACTCAGCCTACTGGATAATCCCCCCCCCTTGTTTACCTGGTGTTGTGGGAAACTATTTTTTGAGATTTCAATTTTCTTTATGCCTGTTTAGCTTTCGATACCAAAACTTGGTGATATTATGGAGTCCGACGAGATGAGTTCGAGTAATTTCTACAGGTGTGTTGTACAATATTTTGTTACGAAGCAAGAAATCAGCAAAAATTGGTTCTAGTTTATTGCTATCCCAAAGCAAGCGATATCATGAATGTACGTAATCAGGGGAGATTTTATGAAATATGGGGAAGGGTGGCTCGTCCTCATCGCGTGAGATTTCTTGTAAGATTCGGGGGCTGTCTTTTGAAATATTGTAAAATTTGAATCTCAAGAAATTTATTTTAAGGAATCCTATCCTTAAAAAGTTAATGTGTATGCTTGGACATTTACTGTGCAGAAGTCCATCAAATAGTGATTATTTAACATTGACGGGGGTAGGCGTAGCTCACTCGCCTCCCTAGAGTCCGCCTCTCGAATGTAATCAAGAAATCAAAACAATTTTCAAGCAGTTTTATTTCCAGGAATATTTAACTATTTGCAACAATGTTTTTAAACAAAAGAAACTATTTTCAAACAAGCAAAGTCACGAAATGTACTAGTTTTAGCATTTCAATATTTTGGTTCGTGTTTGGAGCTTTACCTCAAAGCGAAGGCTTTTATGTAACAATACGTTGACGATATCCTGGAAATACGTTGACGATGTCCTGGAAATACGTTGACGATATCCTGGAAATACGGTGACGATTTCCTAGAAATACGTTGACGATATCTTGGAAATACGTTGACGATATCCTGGAAATACATTGACGATATCCTGGAAATACGGTGACGATGTCCTGGAAATACGTTGACGATATCCTGGAAATACGTTGACGATATCCTGGAAATACGTTGACGATTTCCTGGAAATACGTTGACGATTTCCTGGAAATACGTTGACGATTTCCTGGAAATACGTTGACGATATCCAGGAAATACGTTGACGATATCCAGGAAATACGTTGACGATATCCTGGAAATACGTTGACGATATCCTGGAAATAAACTCGTATCATTTCCTACACTTTATCCGTTACTGAATTCTTATGTATTTCTGAATGCTATAATTTCCTTGTTAGTTCCTTTTCACTTGACGGTGTTCAGTACAAACCAAGAGATTTTGTTTATCTTTTACCTGATGCATATGGATTTAGGTGAGGATTAGATTAGATCTTTCGGCGATTACACGTTTGATTTAGATGAGGATTAGATTATAGCTCTCGGAATTTTCAACCACAAACTGCGTCAACCGGTGAAGCTTTGTTGTTAAAATTTTTGGAGTTGACAAATGTGTTACAATCAGGTAGCGAAATAGGAATGAATAAGACAAAATATGGCTCTTTTAAAGCTATTTGAAATGGACGAAAACTGTAAGTTGATGTTTGTTTCATTGTGTTCAGAGTAAAACAAGAAGTTGACGAATTGAAGAATAGTATAAAGAAAGCGGACGAGAAAGTAAGTGGAATTTTTCATCTTTTGTGGACATTGTCTTAGCCAGGCCATAAGCTTCTTCCTGTTATGTGAATTTCACATCATTATGGTTGTTCATATTGAAAAATGTAGAAATAAAAAATGATCCTTTCATTTAGTATGACGACGATTTATATCCAGAGTTTTATCGTAAATCATCTGAATACATCAAAGGAAGCAATACAGATGTTTCACAACCATTTAGGATAGGTACATTTTTTTTCTTGTTTAAAACGTTTCTCGTCGATAAACTGGACTATTTATTACTTCGTGTAGGTGAAATATTATTAATTAGTAGAAAGGCGGGCTCATGTTTCAAGGAGGATTCTTCCAGCATCAAGCTTCGCGTGAGGAAGTTTTACAGGTATCAGTGACATGCGCATTTAACGTAGCTGTTATAGGATAAGTAGAAAGAAAAATGACTACCGCTAAGGTTGTCGAAACGTCAGTCAACAAACAACAAAAACAGTCCTTCTCAGGACTCTACTAACCTTGACGATCTTTGGGAGTTACGAAGTGGACAGACCACAACATAAGATCCCGCAATTTAGGTGAATTATTATGACAAGTTAGGATGGGTTGTAGTCTTTGAGAAAATTTTACATCTATTTATCTGTTTGTAGATGTAGGTCGTCCAGGTTAGTAGAGGCATGAGAAGGACTGTTGTTGTTGATGTTGACTGACGTTTCTTCGACCTTAGCGGTAATCAAGTGATGATGAAGATGACTACCGCTAAACGTCAGTCAACAACAACAGAAACAGTCCTTCTCAGGACTATAATAACCTGGGCAATCTACATCTACAAACATGTACCTATACATCCATTGTGACTAAGTAAGAAACTACGTAACACTGAGAGATACTTAACCCTGGTTTGAAGGATTACAGGAGGGTTGATAATTTGCCTACGTTATATCAATATACCATAGTATTCAACTAAAGATATTGTGAAGAGAGTGAACGCACTTCCTAAAAATCTCTTTCAAGCATGGTATAAAATAACAAAATTTAACCATAAAATGATGCGGCAACATTCACAATGTAGCCACTGCAATCTTTTCAAACTGTAGCACCCCGGTGCAAAATTATTCCTCGATTCCCCTCCCTACGTAAAATGGACAGTAAAACTTCTTGATGTTATATTGATTAAGGTTGGGTGCTTTCATGGAAGTTGCATTGGGTACATTTAGACAATGTATAACATTTAGAAAACATAACATTTTTACTTAATTAAAGCTAAGAATAATATTATATGTTTTAGTACTTTTGTTTCAATAATTTTTAAGTAAGTGTGTGAAATTGACAATTGTAGTGACATTTTCTCCGTGACGAGTCATTTCGACGTTTTAGGCCAGAAAATACTCACAAAGGAGTAAAATGCGGATATCAAGCTGATTTTAATCTTTTGTATTGGAGTTGTGAAGGTAGTGTATGTTACTGCGTTTAGTTGAAGAATTATTGTTTAATTGAAACATTATTGTTTAATTGAAGAATCATTGTTTAATTGAAGAATCATTGTTTAATTGAAGAATCATTGTTTAATTGAAGCATTCTTGCTTAAATGAAGCATTATTATTTAATTGAAGAATCATTGTTTAATTGAAGAATCATTGTTTAATTGAAGAATCATTGTTTAATTGAAGCATTCTTGCTTAAATGAAGCATTATTATTTAATTGAAGAATCATTGTTTAATTGAAGAATCATTGTTTAATTGAAGAATCATTGTGTAATTGAAGCGTTATTGTCTAATTAAAGAATTATTGCTTGATGAGTGAATTATTTGATTGCAAAATTATGGCATTATTGTTTAAATAGGAATTTTTCACTTTGATTAAAAAATATTGTATATTTTGAGCATTATTGCTAAATTAGAGCAATGTTTGATAAAAAAAATTATGGTTTAATTAAAGCATTATTGGTTAATCAAAGCATACTTATTTCAAGAACAACATCGATCGTGGGTTTTTTTTGACATATTTTCCTTTGTTATCTCCTTTCCAGAAGCGACAGTCAATGTGACGTCATTGATGGGCAAATGTTTTGTGTCATATGATGCTGATTTGACAACCACTGTTAAGGAGTACACTTCTAAAGGAACTGATCGTTTTTATTACAGAGAGGTAGAAATATTGATTTTGTAACGTTCATCAATAGTGAAAATCCGTGTTCAACTGGTACATTTTTCATGTGTATTATTATCATTATTTAATAACATACAGGGTGTATCAAAAAAGAAAACCTTTAGAAATTAACGTGTTGTGATGATTTCAGTTCCTATCACAATGTTACGTCTACGGATGCATAAAATATTGTCGACTGCGTTCATAAATTATACATATTTTTGTTACAAGAACGAAAGCTTTTCTGTTCCTAGAATTTAACGTACTTCAATTTACAAAACGCGTAGTGTCCTTCACCAGTAGGATAAGTATAATGATCAAGCATTGAAAATTTATCATAGGTTAATTTCTAAAAGCCTTTTTGATACGTCGTGTAAATATTGTGATAGGTAATCAGGTATATTCAACATTTAGAAACTTTAACGAATTGTTTTAGTCTAATTTAGTACAAATAGTTATTAAAATGATGTAATAATATATTTAATAGTTTCTGTTTTTAATTTGAATGCTTTAAACTATTTAAATGACGATAATTAAATCAACAACATTTCAAAACATGAAAAGAAAAGCTGTTGACGTATACACTGTGACCCAGTCTTTTATTTAACTGTAATTTGCACCTCGTTTTCCTTGCCTGCAGCACCCAATGTGTTAATAATTAAATAATTATAATAATTATAGTAATTTATACCTACGATAGAAATTATATCACTCGTTTTTGCTTTATTTTGTTGCGTTAGGCATACAACGCCGAAACTCGAGAGTTTGAAGATATACCGAACGAAGCTAGAAGACAATCTTACAAAGGAAAAGTTAGTTGAAGTTTTTTTTTCTTTATTTTAGCCATGTTTTTCCTCAACTTTTATATTTTTGTTACCAGGGAAGGGAAAGGAAAAAGTAAACAAAGATGTCTTCCCATGCTGATGAAAAACATCGATGACAGAAAATGGTGATGAAATGAAGGAGGTGGGTCAACTACGAACACTCGATGTGTTTGCTGGATGTGGAGGTACATATATGGATTACATGACTCACACAATGTACCAACTTCAACAAAGTACTTGTCAATAATAATGACAAATAATTTAATGTAGGTTTATCAGAAGGTCTTCATCAAGCTGGGATCGCTAAAACCCGCTGGGCAATCGAGAAGGATGAACCGGCGGCTCAGGCATTTCGCGCCAACAACACCGATACAATTGTCTTTACGGATGATTGCAACGATCTTCTGAAACTAGCCATGGATGGCGAAACTGAGAATACACGTGGTCAGCGGTTACCCAAACAAGGAGAGGTGGAATTATTGTGCGGAGGTCCTCCCTGTCAAGGATTTAGTGGCATGAATCGGTTTAGCTCCAGAGAGTATTCTTGCTTTAAGGTTTGTGTTTAACAATAAAGGCATTTTTTGCCTATGATGTAGTAGAAACGCAGTGTATTTTCGGGAGTATATCTATATTCTTACAGCTCTTAAGCATGGTTGTCATTAAGTCGCTTAAGTCATTCCGAATCTTTCCGAGTCTTTCCGAGTTGTTTTGTTGTTTTTCAAAACGTCTGGGACGACTCAACTCACTCAAGCTATGTAATTTTCATATATTCGTACTAGCACTGCCGAGAGACTGCTTAATTAATTTTTACGCGAAACATTTAAAAATGGCGGCTGCTGTTTATGAAAGACAAAGTCTTTTGGTTGGTTATTTGCTTCTTAAAATCGTTTTGCGCCGTAAAAAGGTAGCTTGCATTTCTCAACGGTTGTTTCGGTCGTCCGGATAGAGCAAAGTTCTATCCATGCGACCCTGGTCGTTTTAGTCATGTGAGTCATTTGAGGTCATCCCTGTCGCCTCTGAAATGTTCTCATACAGTCACACGGGTCGTCTGTGAAATTTTGGCACGACTGAAACGACTATGACGACTTTATGAGAACCAGGCTTTAAATACTCTGAAGCAGGATGTTCTACGTTACAAGACCGACTTTTTATAATGCCTTTATTTAATTAAAATGCCTACAGTTTTAACTGCACTGACATTTTTCGTTGTCACACGGTTTCGACCTTTCATATATATATTTATACCCTGATGTACACGAAACACCTTTCTTATACATATTTCACTAAAACAGTGGAGTAACACACTCACCTTAATGTACGCTCCTGCTTTGAAGTGAGGCATTTTATACCCTGATGTACACGAAACACCTTTCATTTCCAGGGCATGTAGTTATAATTTCATCGCTCTCAAATACGTTATTCTTGTCTGTGGCTGATCTAGGGTACGTCAAAATACATTACAGCGGTACATTTTGGCATATATTTTCATATTCAGAGGCCAATTCATTGGTAAACTTATATTTTTTAGAAATTCAAAACCAACAGTGTTTTTCTGAAAGTACTTTAAATTTAAAATTGAGGAGCTACAATTTATTTTGACGAATGCTAGATCCGCCACTGATTGTTGTGTATGATAAAAAACTTATACGTCATCCAGACTAAATCAGACACGAATGCTTGCGTTACTTTTGTTGAAATGTGAGTTGCAAAATTAGAGCTGCATTGTAATCCCGCTTCTGACATTTTTTTGCCGACGCGCTCGAAACGAGGCTTTCCGTATCTACCATCTTTCATGTTTTCATTTTAGAACTCTCTCGTCGCGACCTTTCTCAGCTACTGCGACTATTATCGTCCAAAATATTTTCTCCTCGAAAACGTTCGAAATTTTGTATCATACAAAAAGAGCATGGTGTTGAAACTTACTTTGAGATGTTTGTTGAAGATGGGGTACCAGGTATTAGACCCTATGATATTGCTGTTAATGGTTTACATTCTGTTGTGTGTTATTCTAAATAAAGATGAGAAGTCAGGTATAGTGACCCCACGATAGTGCTGTTAATGATTTACATTATGTTGGGTATTAATCTTTATTATACCTGTTGCAACCGTTTGTATTAAACACATGGATTGATGAGGGGTCATTTATTAGCATCCCTCCAGCTTGGCAGGAGGTTTGGTAATTTCTCTAAGAAATATCATTATACCAAGCAATTGTACTGAGCTTATAATAAAAAAATATCTCGGTAATCATGGTATCGAAGAGTGACAGAATTATAAAAAGTCTAACTTTTCACGGGTACAACCAATAAGTAGCTAAGAAAGTATAGTCTAAACAAGAGCAACCCCCCCGTGCAAAATTATCCTGAACCCCCCTGATTAAACAGACATGGCTGGCAATGTTTCGTAAACAAGCATATCAACATCACGACAAAGAGATCACAAATTTTTCCTCTCATTTTAGTGTACGTTTGGTATCCTGCAAGCGGGCAGCTATGGTGTACCCCAAACACGAAGGCGGGCCATCATAATGGCGGCTGCCCCAGGGCATCAGTTGCCGATGTATCCGGAGCCAACACATTGTTTTCATCCAAGAGCCTGCAAACTTAATGTGGTTGTTGATGATAACAAGGTAATCATAAAATTATCATCTCATGTTGTGTGTTGTTCCATTCAATTTACTGAAGATAGTTTGCAATCCACCTTTTCGACGGTAGACACGCACACGTTTAAAAATACGAAATCAAATTACAAAATTCGGACAATCAAATGGTCGGACATAGTATTGTATATGTAGAGTAGTGGCAATAAAATGGTTAGGTTTAGGAGATGCTTTTGAGTTTTGGGGCATTTTGAATCTGATTCTAGTTATTCAGACAGATTATTTATAAAGGCAGGAGGCATAACAGTAAATATTAACCAATTTGCGTTAGAAAAGCATAATGATTGAAGAAAGCTTGAATACTGGCATGTTGTCGCGTTAATGACTTTTGTGTAAGGATTGTTACGGGCCTTACGGTGTGATTTAAGAATTTCCAGGACGGATTCCAGCTGCATAAAGCACAAAAAAGGAAGCCATACAAATTTTTGAACTGTTTCGCTGTCTTCTAAGCACTATTATTATTATTGATGCATAAAATCTCCCTAAAACTGGCTTTTCACATTCATTTACGCGTTATATACGTAAATATGTAATTTTAAACTATAGCTATAAATTTCAATGTATGAAATTACGATGACGCTAAATGATAACATAAAACATTGTCTTATTATGAATATGTGTTAATTATATTCAAAGGCAGTCGTAAATCTCATCTGGAATCTCTTGATACATCGAATGATAAACATAAAAGTGACAGTTAAAAATAATTCTTCAATTTTCTTCGCTCGATGCAGCTAAAATCAGATCTGGATATTCTTTGGTAGGGTGGTTTCTTACAACGAAATGCACAGAACATGCATTTACGTAGTAACTTTGACGGCTGTCTCTATGCGATCAAAAGAAATCCGAAAAGTGTACTGTTTAATCGCAAAATTACTTGAGAAGAGAAGTTACTTTCTAGATTGAATCATGAAAATATTGTTAAGTAAAAAGAAATTTGCCATCCAAATAGAATTAAAATTTTATGACATAAGGGTTGAAAGCGAGTTTCAATTTAGACGATACAAGTTGCGTGGCTTATTAAATCTTAATTTTAGAAACTATTATAAAAAATTAGAAAATCCCTTTTTTCCAAGAAGCCTATGGATACTCTCGTTCATTATGGGAGAATTATGAGAAAGTTACATTGTAAAAGGTAACGAGTAAAAAAACGTGTTTACAATTGGTTTAAATTATAATTCAAGAAGCCAGGAGTTGTTTTAAGCTTTGTGGTATCCTTGGATGTTCTAGTTTCTTTTATGATAAGAACTCTTGTAAACAAAAAGATAAAATTCGAAAGCAAAAAACCCCGTTTTCGGTCCATGCTTCCCGATACCTTCTTAAGCGTAAGGCACTAGAACGCCGCATGTTAACGTTTCGGTAGGAGATTTCGGCTCCTCCACGCTATCCTACTTGGGAGATGCCAATAGCAAGCTTCCGCTATTGACCCCAGACCCCGAGATCACCTGCGATAGGCTTTGCTCGGGGTACGCAGGGAGAGTGCGGTCGCCACCGAAGTGTGGGCCCCTAAGCCACTGCATACTATATCGCACCCAGCTTCCACTGCTAGTTGACATCTACTATATGAAGTTTTAGCTTTATATATATATACATAAATTCAAAGCCTTACGAAAGTTGTGGTATTATTAATGTCACTACTGCGCATGCGCAGATTGTTTCTTTGATAAGTTGTGACTAAGTGAGCTAGTTGCCACAAATGTAGTGCAAGTACATCTAGTTAGTCGTTGCCATGACTATGAACAATTGGTCAGTGGACTGCGCATGCCTAGCGCATGCGCAGATGATTCTCCATTAAATTGCTAATAAGCATGCTATTTACTTCAAAATCGATGCTAGTAGATGCAGTTGGTCGTTGCCATGACCATGAACAGCCAGCTGGTCAAGTCGACTGCGCATGCTCGAGCAGACTGCGCATGCGCAGATATATATCTGAAAATTTGTTACTGAGCGAGTAATTACTCCATAGTACATACAGTTGGTCGTTGCCATGACCATGAACTTGGAGAGTTGGTGGAGTTGACTACGCATGCTCAGATTGATTCTCAATTAATTTGTGACGGAGCGAGCTCTGAAATTGGGACTTGTAGATGCGCTTAGCAAGTTTTCAATCATATATTTATGGCATGCTCTTTGTCTTCTTAAGCTTGTTTTGTTATGGCACTCGTAATATCCGCGACAACGTTAGAGATGTTTTTAATTTTCTCCATAACTTTGTACCTGCATATTGCATGTCATATCCAAGCTTTCCTTTGATTTGACGGAAAATGGTTTTTATTCACTCTTACACTTTCTGTCTTTATAATTAGTCGTTCTGTATTTCTAAAATAAGATTTACAAATGCCCAAGAGCATCTTCTTTCTTTTTATTGCCACTATTCTACATAAAAATACTATGTCCGACCATTTGATTGTCTGAATTTTGTAATTTGATCTCGTATTTTTCCTCTTATGTGTTGTGTAGCGATGTTTTATTTTATTGACCATCGTGACCAATTTTACATAAAATAAAACAACATTAACTACGTTGAGATTATAACTATCTCAATTTTCATGTTTACATGAATCTGATTTTTTATGTTTGTAGTTTGCATCAAATATCACGAGAAATGATTCTGCTCCATATCGTACAGTGACGGTACGAGATGCTTTGTCAGATTTACCAGAAATCAGAAACGGTGCAAAGGCAATAGAAATATCATACGATGGAGATGCACAGTCCCACTTCCAGAGACAGGTTGATACCTCGTAGTCCCGCTTCGTAGTAGTCTTTCATATATGGATTAACTTTCGTATCGATAGCCATTTATAATTTTATTACATCTGATATCAGATCTTCACACTATTCTTAAACTGCATTAAATACAACATAAAAGCTGACAATTCTGTTTACAGATCCGTATGTATAATGAAAACACCGTGTTGCGTGATCACGTGTGCAAAGAGATGACGTCATTGGTCGTTGCTAGGATACAGCGTATTCCCCAAGTACCTGGATCCGATTGGCGTGACTTACCGAACATATGTGTTCGCCTGGCAGATGGGAAATATACGGAGAAATTGCGTTACACATAAGGATAAAAAGAATGGCACTAGTTCATCCGGGCAACAACGTGGTGTATGTAGCTGTGTTGAGGGCGTCCCCTGTGATCCACAGGATAGACAATTTAACACCCTTATCCCATGGTGTTTACCTCATACTGGTAACAGACACAATCACTGGGCTGGTCTCTATGGAAGACTGGAGTGGGATGGCTATTTCAGTACGACTATAACGAATCCTGAACCGATGGGAAAACAGGTGACCAAAACCTGTCAATTTTCTATTGTTATTGACTTTAAAAGTTTGAGATTTATTTTCTTTAGGGACGTGTTCTTCATCCCTGCCAACATCGAGTTGTGAGCGTGCGTGAATGCGCTCGTTCCCAGGGTTTTCCAGATACTTACTGCTTTAAAGGAGATGTTCTTGATAAACATAGACAGGTATGAAGACTGTAGTGCGCATGCCTTTGTGTGATTCGGACCCAGTTCACACATCATCCGTTAATTTTGAATATGGTGTGAAAGTCGTACGGCTTGGGGTCATGTTTATACTACACTGGTTTGAAAAATTTAAACGCTAACAGTAATTGAAAACAGTATGTCTATCTGCATGAGTTTGATTTGAAACGGTGTGTCTATCTGTAGGAGTTTCATTGAAAACATTATGTTTATCTGCATGAGTTTTATTGGAAACGGTGTGTCTATCTGTAAGAGTTTCATTGAAAACAGTATGTTTATCTGCATGAGTTTTATTGGAAACGGTGTGTCTATCTGTAAGAGTTTCATTGAAAACAGTATGTTTATCTGCATGAGTTTATTGGAAACGGTGTGTCTATCTGTAAGAGTTTCATTGAAAACAGTATGTTTATCTGCATGAGTTTAATTTGAAACGGTGTGTCTATCTGTAAGAGTTTCATTGAAAACAGTATGTTTATCTGCATGAGTTTAATTTGAAACGGTGTGTCTATCTGTAAGAGTTTCATTGAAAACAGTATGTTTATCTGCATGAGTTTAATTTGAAACGGTGTGTCTATCTGTAAGAGTTTCATTGAAAACAGTATGTTTATCTGCATGAGTTTAATTTGAAACGGTGTGTCTATCTGTAAGAGTTTCATTGAAAACAGTATGTTTATCTGCATGAGTTTAATTTGAAACGGTGTGTCTATCTGTAAGAGTTTCATTGAAAACAGTATGTTTATCTGCATGAGTTTAATTTGAAACGGTGTGTCTATCTGTAAGAGTTTCATTGAAAACAGTATGTTTATCTGCATGAGTTTAATTTGAAACGGTGTGTCTATCTGTAAGAGTTTCATTGAAAACAGTATGTTTATCTGCATGAGTTTAATTTGAAACGGTGTGTCTATCTGTAAGAGTTTCATTGAAAACAGTATGTTTATCTGCATGAGTTTGATTTGAAACGGTGTGTCTATCTGTAGGAGTTTCATTGAAAACATTATGTTTATCTGCATGAGTTTTATTGGAAACGGTGTGTCTATCTGTAAGAGTTTCATTGAAAACAGTATGTTTATTTGCATGAGTTTAATTTGAAACGGTGTGTCTATCTGTAAGAGTTTCATTGAAAACAGTATGTTTATCTGCATGAGTTTAATTTGAAACGGTGTGTCTATCTGTAAGAGTTTCATTGAAAACAGTATGTTTATCTGCATGAGTTTGATTTGAAACGGTGTGTCTATCTGTAAGAGTTTCATTGAAAACAGTATGTTTATCTGCATGAGTTTGATTTGAAACGGTGTGTCTATCTGTAAGAGTTTCATTGAAAACAGTATGTTTATCTGCATGAGTTTGATTTGAAACGGTGTGTCTATCTGTAGGAGTTTCATTGAAAACATTATGTTTATCTGCATGAGTTTTATTGGAAACGGTGTGTCTATCTGTAAGAGTTTCATTGAAAACAGTATGTTTATCTGCATGAGTTTAATTTGAAACGGTGTGTCTATCTGGAGTTTCATTGAAAACAGTATGTTTATCTGCATGAGTTTAATTTGAAACGGTGTGTCTATCTGTAAGAGTTTCATTGAAAACAGTATGTTTATCTGCAAGAGTTTGATTGGAAACGGTGTGTCTATCTGTAAGAATTTCATTGAAAAACAGTATGTCTAACTTAACCATATGAATTTTATCGCAATTTTGCGAAACCTGTTAAAAATACATGGTGCAGCCTGGATATTTAAGGAGCCTTATATCACAGAATTTTGCAACAGCATCTTGTTAAATCTTTGTTATAAAGCATATTGATATGCTAGATCAATGTTATATTTTTTTATTAGATTGGTAATGCAGTACCTCCCCCTATGGCCAAAGCTATTGGCTTGGAGATCAAGAAATGTTTGATAAATTCGGCAATTGATCAAATTCATCTACAATAGCACTACACATTAATTTCAACTTGATTTAATCCGCCACATCTTTAGCTTATAGTTTTAATCATTTTTGCCATATTTCTTTTCTCAATGTGTTAGAAAGAGTTAGTGATGTAGGTTTATCTAATTGCTAGTGACTTTTATGAAGTGTTTTAGTCCATTTTTCAAATAGCAGCAGTTATTTAAATCGATTTAACTTTTGTACTAAGTTTTATATTTTCAATTTTTCTAACTGTTGATGCTTTACACAATTTAAATAGAAAAATAAAGCTATGTTTTATGTAAAAACAAGGCGTTCACTGTACATGATCTTTGGTCGACAAAAGTTCAGCAAGTTTGGATGACATATTTTAATATTTATTTATGTTATTTAATATTTTAAGTGTGGCGTTATGGAAGCGTTTGTTGAATTTACTTCCAGGAACAATAACTAGCATGAAAATATCATGGAGAATGATTAAGTTTGAAAAGTCAATTGAAGACTAAAAATTTACTATCGTATATCTCTAGTAGAAAAATATCCCTCACAATTGCATTTTATAATGCTTAAGACCGATGATTTGAAACAGAAAAATGATCGCACATCATTACAATGCTTGTTTAGTTATCAGAAACATCACAGAGTAAGAAGGACTTAAAATTCGTGTACAATAACCTGAACCGAGTTAGCCCACTTCAAAATTGCGTTTGTATGTAAAAGGTTTGAATGTTAACTACAGCTTGATAATCTTTTGGGAATTCTTGTCGTTCGTGTTTGTTTATTGCAAACTTGCGACATGACTCGTTTACAAAATCAATCCTATTTTAACTCAGTCTTTGGTCAACCTCAGTACTAAGCTCCACTGCAAAACTCTCGTCTCTCTTTTCCATCTTCATTCTTGCCTGCAACACCCGAAAATTTTTTCAAAGGTTTTGCCTAAAATAATGGTGTTTCGTTCGTAAAACTTTCGTTTATTTCCTTGTTTAAGCGCTTTTTAAGATAAAATTTGAGACGTTTTTGAAAGGCTTTTGGCATTAAAAATGATTCAAGAAAGCCGACCAGAGCATGTTTCTCAAAGGAAAAAAGTTTTAGCTGAAAAACTTTCAAAGGTAAACTTGCTGTCAAGACAAGACGTTCAAGTTTGACAACCAAAATAACAGTTCTCTTCTGTTGAATAGAAATGGTTTTATTTTTAGGAGCAAACAAATTTATCATTTTGAAAGACAGTTTGACGAAAAGCGACGATTTGACGGAAAATATGGTAAGGACAAGCTCAGTCAAACTTTGGAATAATAACATGAACTTTCAAATTGAAGATTTCATTCATTAAAATAGCAAGGTTATATTATTTTCAGCGTGGTATTTTGTCATCATTTAACGAACGCTTAAGCAAGCTAGAAGAAAACATTTTACCTGTGCATAAAGAAACTGTTGAACTACAACGTCGACAAAGAAGTATCCTTTTACACTCTATTTCAATCATACTCAAGTTTATTTTCTTAAGGTGCAATTCTGTTTATGTCTTTTGAAGAAGACAAACAATGAGGTTGGAAAACTTGCTCTCTCTTGCAGCCACACGACCATTTTCAACTATATGTTGCCCCTCTAAATTACTTTGCTTGTGCTTACATCAACTCAGGGTAAACTGGACCATCCCACCATGATATTGAACTAATATTTTCTTGCAAAATCGAAATGGTACAATCGGCTTTGTGTTGCAGCATATTTCTGGTAGTAAGTCACTGGCAGCAAATAAATTCACATCCTTGCAGCTATACAGGGACTTCGATACAAGTTTTCCAACCTACAATAAAATGTTTCATTAATGCTATAACAGATACACATATGTTGTAGTTCCCTTGACCAATCTCCCCCCCCCAGATATTGATAAAGTTTTACGAGGGCTAGATAATGTTATCAGCTATCATAATGTTGCTTCGAAAGAAGACCAGGACATCAGAGATGGGTGAGTGTTTCGATGATGGTTTGTATCCCCCTGACTAAAAGAAAAGGTTGTAAGATGGTTTTCTCCACCCTGACTAAAAGGAAAGGATGGTAGGATGGTTTATCTACCTCTCCTTCCGTGATTTCATATGTTTATCAGCTGATTTTTTTTACTCTTGTCCAAGTTCTTTCCAATGTGAAGTTAAAACAGAAATTGTTTTATCTAACTCCTAAATTTTCACGTCTTCATCCCTCATCATCCCTCATTATCCCTCATCATCTGTCTCTATCCCTTCATTATATTCATAAATTTCCATTATTTTTTCAGACCTGGTGCTGATGTCGATAGTTACATACAAAGCTTGATAAAAGTTCAAGATGCCATTAAATTTTTTGAAGACAATAATCCCAACAGTCCTGAGTTATCCCTCCTTGTGAGTTCATTTTGAAAACAACATACCCAATAGTCCTGAGTTATCCCTCCTTGTGAGATCATTAAGTATTTTTGAAAACAACATACCCAACAGTCCTGAGTTATCCCTCCTTGTGAGATCATTAAGTATTTTTGAAAACAACATACCCAACAGTCCTGAGTTATCCCTCCTTGTGAGATCATTAAGTATTTTTGAAAACAACATACCCAACAGTCCTGAGTTATCCCTCCTTGTGAGATCATTAAGTATTTTTGAAAACAACATACCCAATAGTCCTGAGTTATCCCTCCTTGTGAGATCATTAAGTATTTTTTGAAAACAACATACCCAACAGTCCTGAGTTATCCCTCCTTGTGAGATCATTAAGTATTTTTTGAAAACAACATACCCAACAGTCCTGAGTTATCCCTCCTTGTGAGATATCCCTATTTGGAAAACAACATTAGTCCTGAGTTATCAATCATTAAGTAGACAGTCCTGAGTTATCCCTCTTGTGAGATCATTAAAGAGAACAACATACCCAACAGTCCTGAGTTATCCCTCCTTGTGAGATCATTAAGTATTTTTGAAAACAACATACCCAACAGTCCTGAGTTATCCCTCCTTGTGAGATCATTAAGTATTTTTTGAAAACAACATACCCAATAGTCCTGAGTTATCCCTCCTTGTGAGATCATTAAGTATTTTTGAAAACAACATACCCAATAGTCCTGAGTTATCCCTCCTTGTGAGATCATTAAGTATTTTTTGAAAACAACATACCCAATAGTCCTGAGTTATCCCTCCTTGTGAGATCATTAAGTATTTTTTGAAAACAACATACCCAACAGTCCTGAGTTATCCCTCCTTGTGAGATCATTACATATTTTTTCAAGTCAATCTTGCTTGATTAAAAAGTTAATTTTCATTTCAGACATCATTAATGGAAACAGGACGTGAACAAATGGAACGTTCATTTAGACAGTTCCTGGCGCTAAACAGTAGTCCTCTCGAAGCTGAAACATTGATTGATTTATTGAATTCTAACGAAGGTTGTCAATAGTTCTTGGGGGGGGAGGTCAAACTATAGAAAGTTTTAGCAATTTTTTCGGAGGCGTTGTAGATTATATAAAGGCGGTGATTTCAAATATCATTTCCCAACAAATTATCGCGCCCGTAATCCAGGTTTCATTTGTCTTAACATAGGAATGCCTTAAGTCAATCTATGTGAAAAATTTCGTTATCCTGTTTAAAACTTAGTTAAACAGTTAGGCCTGTTTCAAACGTCGCGTTTTACATGAGACGAATGCATTTGAAATAAAAGCTAATGAGGAATTTTATCTCATTTTCTTTTCTCTTTAATGCATTCGGTTCATGGCCGTATGTAAAATGTGACGTTTGAAACAGGCCTTAGTCTCGCCATCTTACGTTAAAGTCACACGTTATTATGCGTCAGATTTAAGTCATTATATCTCAATTCACATTTTTTATATTTCTTTCCAGAAACAGAAGAATCCACGCCTCAATTTAAACCTATAAATGGTAATAAAAAACAAAGAAATTTTGAAATCAATATTGTAAAACGATAAGCGAAAATGTCTTCTCGTAATTGATCTTTCGCCACTTTTCTAATGATCTCTAGTCTCCCAACTGTTATTTTCTTTTCACGTTTAGACGAAGCTATAGAAGATTTGAGTAAAATAGCGGCTTGGCTGGTCACAGAAGCCCAATCTAAAGGTATCTCCTAGAAAATATGTTTCACTTTCATTATGGGTTTGATTGTAACGCGAATTTAGCTAGAGTTTAGAAAAGCAGCGAAACACGAGCCTAAGGCAGTATGTTCCATTGAACAAAATACATGGAACGCTACCTGAAGTAAATGAATCCACCTTTTCGACGGTAGACATACGTGGCAAAAATACGAGATCAAATTACAAAATTCGGACTGTGAAATACTCTGACATAGTATTGCATATGTAGAATAGTGGCAATAAAATGGTTAGGAGATGCTTTTGAGTTTTGGGCATTTTTAATCCGATTGTATTTATTCAGAACGATTATTTATAAAGGCAGAAAGCAATACAGTAAATATGTTTTCTAAACATTTTGGGTTAGAAAAAGCATAACGATCGAAGGAGAGCTTGAATACTGGCATGTTGTCGCGGTAATGACTTTTATGTAAGGATTGTTACGGGCCTTAACGGCGTGACTTAAGAATATCCAGGACGGGTTCCAGCTGCAAAAAGCGCAAAAATGCAAGCCATACAAAATTTTGAACTGTTATTTTTATTAAATGTTGCTTCGCTGTCTCTTATCACTATTATTATTATTGATGCATAAAATCTCCCTAAAACTGGATTTTCACATTCATTTACGCGTTATATACGTAAATATGGAATTTTAAACTATAGCTATAAATTTCAATGTATGAAATTACGATGACGCTAAATGATAACATAAAACATTGTCTTATTATGAATATGTGTTAATTGTATTCAAAGGCAGTCGTAAATCTCATCTGGAATCTACATGATACATCGAATCATAAATATTATAAAAATAACAGTTAAAAAAAATTCTATGACTTGCAATTTTCTTCGCTCGATGCAGCTAAAATCAGATCTGGATATTCTTTGGTTGGGTGGTTTCATACAACGAAATGCATAGAACACGCATTTACGTAATAAATTGGACGGCTGTCTCTATGCGATCAAAAGAAGTCCTTTTAATCCGAAAAGTGTACAGTTTATTCGTAAAATTATTCGAGAAGTAAAGTTACTTTCTATATTGAATCATTAAAATATTGTAAGATAAAAAGAAATTTACTATCAAAAATGTATCAAAATTTTATAACATAAGGTTTGAAACCGAGGTTCAATTTAGACGATACAAGTTGCATGGCTTATTAAATGTTATCTTTGTAGAAACTATTATAAAAAAAGAAAACAATTCCTTTTTTCCATGAAGCCCATGGGTGCCTTCGTTCGTGATGAGAGAGTTACATTGTATAAGGAGGCTCTCACATGGTAACGAGTAAAAAATGTGTTTACAGTTGGTTTAAATTAGAAGTCAAAAAGGCAGAAGTTGTTTGAACGTATCCTTGGATGTTCTAGTTTCTTTTATGATAAGAACTCTTGTAAAGAAAAAGATAAAATTCGAAAGCAAAAAACCCCGTTTTCGGTCCATGCTTCCCGATACCTTCTTAAGCGTAAGGCACTAGAACGCCGCATGTTAAACGTTTCGGTAGGAGATTTCGGCCCTCCACGCTATCTTACTTGGGAGATGCAATAGCAAGCTTCCGCCCATCAAACCCGAGATCACCTGCGATAGGCTTTGCTCGGGGTACGCAGGAGAGTGCGGTCGCCACCGAAGTGTGGGCCCCTAAGCCACTGCATACTATCGCACCCAGCTTCCACTGCTAGTTGACATCTACTATACCTAGTATTGACTTTATATATATATACAAAATTCAGAGGCTTACGAAAGTTGTGGTATTAACAAAGTCACTACTGCGCATGCCCAGATGATTTCTTTGATAATTTGCGACTTAGTGAGCTAATTGCCACAAATGTAGTGCGAGTACATTTAGTTAGTCGTTGCCATGACTATGAACAATTGGTCGAGTGGACTGCGCAGGCTCGAGCGCATGCGCAGATGATTTCTCTATTAAATTGCTACTAAGCATGCTATTTACTTCAAAATCGATGCTAGTAGATGCAGTTGGTCGTTGCCATGACCATGAACTTGGCCAGCTGGTCGAGCCGACTGCGCATGCTCGAGCAGACTGCGCATGCGCAGATAATATATCTGAAAATTTGTTACTGAGCGAGCTAATTACTCCATAATCTGTACTAGTACATACAATTGGTTGTTGCCATGACCATGAACTTGGAAAGTTGGTGAAGTTGACTACGCATACTCGCATTAATTCTCGATTAATTTGTGACAGAGCGAGCTCTGAAATTGGTGCTTGTAGATGCGCTGAGCAAGTTTTCAATCATATATTTTTTGCATGCTACTTGTCTTCTTAAGCTTGTTTTGACAAATGCATATTAAACTTATCAACACTTTGTTACGGCACTCGTAATATCTGCGAAATGTTTTTAATTTTCTCTATAACTTTGCATGTCATATCCAAGCTTTTTTTTCATTTGACGGAAAATGGTTTTTATTCACTCTTAACACCTTTTGCCTTTATAATTAGTCGTTCTGGATTTCTAAAATAAGATTTACAAATGCCCCAAGAGCATCTCCCAACCATTTTATTGCCACTATTCTACATAAACAATACAATGTCCGACCATTTGATTGTCAGAATTTTGTAATTTGATCTCGTATTTCTGACGCGTGTGTTTACTGTCGGAAGGTGGATTGAAGCCAAATCTTACACCCTGATACGCGAAATTTTACCCAAGACACGCGAGTGTTGTGTTTCGAGATTCTCGCGGGGTGACGATTGAACTACACGCGTGTCCGGGGTAAAATCTCGCGTGTCTGGGTGTAAAATTTGGCTTCAAAAAATTATTAGGCAGCGTCCCATGTATTTTAGTTCAATGGTATGTTCAAAAATTTCACGACTGCGCTGATAGCGATTTCAATTTTCGTGTTTTGATGGTCTGATCCAAAGTCGGACATCGACCAATCAGAGCACGCGTTTGGCATATGGTATTTTATAAAAGAATTTTTTGTTCTTTCAGACTTTATGAATGTGTACAGTCAAATTCGATCAAGTGTCTTAATGAAGACCTTACAAGGGTTTGTGATGTACTTGTTACAAGAAACAATGGGAAAATGCGTGATCCGTTATCAGTATTATACATAACGCAGTCAAACGTTCACTAATATACAATTTTTTATAAAACAAGCTTTCGGCTCTCTGTCTACAGCCTTCGACGGGTTATAAAAAATATTTTATAGCCGAAAGCTTGTTTTATAAAATATTTTATATCAGTGAACGTTTGACTGCATAAGATAATGGGTTTCTATAATTTCGTAAAAGAACTGTTGCTAATGTGCATTTAATATACACGACGATTTTTTTGAGAATAGACATGTTTCTACATTTCTTGATGTCATCTTCAGTAGACATTATGAGATGTCGAAATATGTCTATTCTCATAAAATCGTCGTCTATAAATGCAGAATAATGGGTTCTTTTCATAAAATATTCAAGTTTTTTTGTTTTCGACTTTCCTCAGATTAGTCGAGGGACACTCGCTAGGAAAGATAGAAAGTTATTCTCCTGCCAACATTGTAAGTACATAAAAGTCAGTCTATCTTTTTATCTATAATCTTTTTATCTGAAAAGTTAGAAAAATTTTTTCATCGGAAATGTTGATGTTTCCCCCGGGGGGTGGGGGGTGTTGTCAAGATTTGTTTTACTAGAGGAAGCGAGATTTTTTACCGATGTTTCACCCATTAGAGAGATAGTCTTTTCTGGATACGAAGAGATGGTTTTATTGTAGGGGGGGGGGCTAAAATTTTCAACAGGATTTCCCTGAAGTGTCAAGGTTAACGTCTTCAATGATAATCTCACAATGTACAAACTTATTTACATCTTCAGATGATCAGTCCGAAGTTGAAACAGTTAAGCGGCATCACTCCTCAAAGAAAATCAACTATGAAAAGAAATCTTGTGCGTCGTGTACCATCGAAAGCGTTTGAATATACAGGAAATCGGAAAGTCAACTCACCAGCTGCAATGTTCGATTTGTCAACATCCAAAGAGGATGAAGAGTAATGTATTTTATTGTGTATTTTTTGTTCTGTGTTTGTAAACTTTTTGTCGTTCGGCGTTCGTCGTAATTGCTCGTAATTGTTCGTCGTAAGAAGATGATTTCGTAAATCCAACTGGATAAAAATGCTCTTCAACCGACAGGCTTAGTGGCTCTTCCCCATTGAACTAAAATACTTGGAACGCTACCTGAAGCAAATAATTGAAGCCAAATCTTAAACCCAGACACGCGAGATTTTACACCAGTCACGCGTGTTTGGTGTTTCGAGATTCTCTCGCGGAGTAATAATTGACTACACACGCGTGTCTGGGGTAAAATCACGTCTTCAAAAAATCATTAGGGTTTTGTATTACAGGTAGCGTTCCAGGTATTTTAGTTCAGTGGTCTTCCGTCACGTGTTATAGACCGCATTTGCACAGAATAATGATTATACAGAAGGTCACTCAGGTGTACAACGTCCTCATGTCGGCCATTATTCCAGCCAGATGATTAAGATTTCTCACTTGTTTCCAACCATTAAAATTACATTGCGTCATTACTTAATAATGAATTCAAGTATATTTTGACTCAAGAAATGACTTCGGATCATTTTAAAGGTTTCGAAAAAGTCAAAAACCTTAATCATCTGGCTGGAATAATGGCGGCCACCATGCGCGGCACGACATGCGCGAGGACAAAAACATCAAAGGCTCCGACATGAGTGACTCTTCTGTATATTCTTAATCTGTGACATTATCGTTAAAATGGCTGAGTTTTCAAGTTAAAGTAATTAGCTAAACCAGGCAGAATTTATCTCAATAATCTTCCGAAACCTTTAACTTTGATTCTTTCCTCGAACTCGTTGCTTTTGTGTTTTAACTCTAACACTGTTATCTTTTAAAGATTCATACGTAGAAACAAATTTCTTTATTTATTTAGTGAGATAGAAGCTGGTCGATTCATCACTCTTTCTGCGGCACTTTTAAAACTTCTCCAGGTTTGTTGCACATAGTTGTTTTAACGCGTATTTTTTAAAGTGTATTTTAAAGTTTATTTTTTAAAGTGTATTTTAAAGTGTATTTTTTAAAGTGTATTTTAAAGTGTATTTTAAAGTGTATTTTTTAAAGTGTATTTTAAAGTGTATTTTAAAGTGTATTTTTTAAAGTGTATTTTAAAGTGTATTTTAAAGTTTATTTTTAAAGTGTATTTTAAAGTGTATTTTTTAAAGTGTATTTTAAAGTGTATTTTAAAGTTTATTTTTTAAAGTGTATTTTAAAGTGTATTTTTTAAAGTGTATTTTAAAGTGTATTTTTTAAAGTGTATTTTAAAGTTTATTTTTTAAAGTGTATTTTAAAGTGTATTTTTTAAAGTGTATTTTAAAGTGTATTTTAAAGTGTATTTTAAAGTGTATTTTTTAAAGTGTATTTTTTAAAGTGTATTTTAAAGTGTATTTTAAAGTGTATTTTAAAGTGTATTTTAAAGTGTATTTTAAAGTGTATTTTTTAAAAGTGTATTTTAAAGTGTATTTTTAAAGTTTATTTTAAAATGTATTTTAAAGTTTATTTTTAAAGTGTATTTTAAAGTGTATTTTTAAAGTGTATTTTTAAAGTGTATTTTTAAAGTGTATTTTAAAGTGTATTTTTTAAAGTGTATTTTTTAAAGTGTATTTTAAAGTGTATTTTTTAAAGTGTATTTTAAATTGTATTTTAAAGTGTATTTTAAAGTGTATTTTTTAAAGTGTATTTTAAAGTGTATTTTAAAGTGTATTTTTTAAAGTGTATTTTAAAGTGTTTATTTAAAGTGTATTTTTTAAAGTGTATTTTAAAGTGTATTTTAAAGTGTATTTTAAAGTGTATTTTAAAGTTTATTTTTAAAGTGTATTTTTTAAAGTGTATTTTAAAGTGTATTTTAAAGTGTATTTTTTCGATGCAAAAGTTATTTTGCAGATATGTCATTCTTAGAGTGAACGGACATTGATAAATTTGATCATTTGTAAAGAACATAGAGATGGTATTTTTGACGTTCTCATTCAAAATTTGATTGAAACGTTGATTGTCGAGGGAGAAGTAAGTCGCTTTATGAGAAGAATTTGTTTGGAAATTTTTTCACGTTTTTTAAACGTTTTTTCATTCCTTATTGAGGTCATGGAAAACTCGGCAAGAAAATTAATTGCGAAAAGAGAATATTTCTCTCTGTTGCCTCTTCTTCCCGTGCTCAAGTATGTTAAATCTGTGTTGCCTTTGTTCTCTCAAGCATTACAGGTAAATAGGAAACTTTACAGGTACCCTTTTTCTTAGGAAAATTTAGAGCATATTAAATGTGGCCCAAACTTTGCGAACATACAAATGCGCCATATTCTTGATGAAGAGTGTCACAGTTTTATAATGCCAACATGTTATGTCATGTATTCTGATTTAATATGTTACATATTTCTATATTTTGACTTGTTTTTTTTTTGTTACATGTGGTCATTTTCACGTGTAGCCTAAGAAAATCTTAAAATTTCATCTGTTCTAGGGAGTTCGTACTCCAACTCAAGCAGCAATCCCAAATCTTTTTGTTAATTTGGAGTCCGTGGTAGGATATTTAAAATTTTATCGATGTGTTACATCATCTTGCAAGGGGGGGCAGGGACGAAACTAGAACGTTAAGTGGGGGGGGGAGGAAATATTCATATATTCACCTCTGCTTGACTGATTTGGTTTGTTAGCGATTATAATTTCAAAAGAAAATTTGCAGGGAAGTACTGAATATGTAAATATTCACCCACCCACCCTCACTCCTTTAACGCTCTAGGCTCGTTCCTGAATGGATGTGTTCTCTCGCTCTATCTTGTAAATATTCACCCCCCCTCCTCTCATTTAACGTTCTAGTTTCGTCCCTGAATGGATGTGTTCTCTCGCTTTATCTTGTAAATATTCACCCACCCCTCCCCTCATAACGTTCTAGTTTCGTCCCTGAATGGATGTGTTCTCTCGCTTTATCTTGTAAATATTCACCCAACCCTCCCCCCCTCACTTAACGTTCTAGTTTCGTCCCTGAATGGATGTGTTCTCTCGCTCTATCTTTCTTTTGTTCATTGCTTTAGGGAGCTAAAGCTTTGGATGACTTTACTGAAAATATCAAGGTTTGTTTGTTGAACGTGATCGTAGCAAAGATGTTGAAATTCATGACAACTTATAAAGCTTTGTTGAATGTAATTAATTACAGCAATGAATCTTACTAAACGTCTTCTTCATTAATGACATTGACGAGATCATTTATTTTATGCTACCATAATTTCTCTTTACATCCATGACGTCTCTCTCAGAGAAGGATCCAGGATGATTGTTTGGGGGTACCTTAGTTTGGATTAGATTTTTTGACTTTTGTAGATGTCATCGTGTTATGTCACACTTTGTGTTCATTTCTGTTATAGTAATATTTTGTAAGAAAATTCACCTAACCTCTTCTTCACTTCCTCTTGGTAAGGAGGGGTGAGCACCTTCACTTTATTAACAGGTGTACTCAGCCCCACCTTACTAACAGAGGTACGCTCTCCCACCCACCTTACTAACAGAGGTACGCTCACACATCCCACCTTACTAACAGAGGTGCGCACACACATCCCACCTTACTAACAGAAATACACACCCTCACCAGTAAATTCATGGCATTTTTATTGTTACTTGATGTTTTCTTTTCTTTAGCATGAGCCGGACAAGCAATCAAATATGCCTAAAGATGGCACTGTTCATGAACTCACAAGCAATGTATGTAATGTGACTGACTAGACTTAAAGCAATGTTGCTAGTCTTACATGATCTCTCGTGTATTTCGTCTGTAAATGCATTTTCTTTGTCAAGTAAATTAACTTCGCAAGCGAAGGTTTTTTATAAAGATATTCTTTGTTGTATTATTTTATAGACGTTGATATTTCTTGAGCACCTGCTGGGATATACGGACACTGTTGGAAATATGCTCTTAAACTCAGGTAATATTTAAGATCCTTTATCTTAATGTTGATTATTTCAGTTTTATCCTAAAACATTTTTGAACGATGGTCTTGCCGGTGAATGACCCTATGATTGGATATTGACGATCGTTTCTCATGTACATTAGTTTCAAAATTGAATTGTTCTTGAATACATAGATTTAGAATCACTGAACGGTAAAGCTTGTGAGAAACATGAGACCAGACCTAGCGTAAGATTGCCTTCTTTATTGAAGTATTTATTCGTCGTCAATATTCACAAGTTCTGACTCAATTATCCACACATACCTCGCTCTACACCTGGATGATACATTTTACTGTTATTTATCAACAAATGCCCCATTTATATGAACAAACGTACTAGATCACGGCTTTTGTTTAAGCTTACGTGAAAGGAATGAATGAAAAGAACAGATACTTTGCATTTAAGTAAGTTGTACATTTTGTTCATATAGAATCTGTAATGGATCCACGAATTGGTGACAGTGTATCACCTAAAACTCTTGTTGCTCGATACTTTGGTAAGTTTACAAAATTCTTTCCTTATAAATGCATTCTTCTTTATCATAGCTTACGTGTGTATTTTAAATGTTGAAGGTCGTGTTCTTGGTGCTCTTGGATTAAATCTTGAACTGAAGTCGAAAAGTTACGTTACAATGTTGGGTCAAGTTGCCCTGTCTGGGATATTCTTATTAAACAATTATAACTACATTTTGAAAGGATTGCAGAGGTTAGTGTCTTTAATATTTTATAACATACACTTCTCAATGACTGACTACCGTAAAATAGTTAGAGATTAGAGAATTTGAATTTTATCATTTTAACACTATATAAAACTGTGTCGGAATTCATAAAATAAAAATTCGATCTAAACATGTGGCTGGCTACGCTACTGCTGACGATGACTTGGGAATAAAGTTGAAAGAGGTGCCATGCAGAAAACTGCTATAGTGGCGAGATCTCTCGTCCATACGCAGTTCTATAGAGATTTGACTCGTCTCCCATCTTTGTGTGCTTGGTGCGAGTTCTAATTTCGTCCAAGTCACATGTTTTCATGTTGGGATAAAAGCGCGAGGATTCGTATTATCAACACTAGAACATCGTAAGGTTTCAAATATTCGATTTAACTGACAAGTAGAGGTACTTGTAGCGAATAGGATTAAGTTCAAAATTCATGCTGCAATATCGCATCTTATAAACTATAAAAAGCCGGCAATTCATATCAGGAATCTTCTAACCTGGCGATGAAAAGCTTTTGGAAACGTTACTTTACGTAACTTTAATTCAACATGAAATATTTGTATCATATGGAAACAACGATAAAAGTAGAAAATTGCCTTAAAATTGCGTCGGCTGATACTGAAATTCTAATAAGCTGCCCAACTTTAATAAAATAATATTAACTCATGGAATATTAATTATACATTTTACAAGAGATAAACAAAATCATTCAAAAAAATATCTTTATTAATTGCATATTGACTTAACGAGTGATATATGTATTTGAATTTCTTTTTGAGGTACGATATTTCCACAACTGCGCGAATAGTGCATTATTATTGATTTTTAAAATCACGTGATAAATATGTGAATAGTTTTTAACTATTATTTATACTTTTTAACATAAGACGCTAAGATTTGTGCACTTCATGACCACTATATTGGTATGTTTATGATTGCAGTTTTTCTTTTATCAACAAAATGATACGAAATCATTTTAATTTATTGAAGTATGTTGCGATTTAATGTCGTTGGTTCTTTTTCTAGTTATATTGTTGTCGAGTTGTCTCGATCATGTCTTCCAAACCTAATTTATATTGTGCATTAATTTCGGACGCTCTCTGGAACATTTCTTCCCCTCTTTCATATTCCTTCAACTTCATCAAAGATGTGGCATAGTTTTGAGCAAGTATACCTTACCTTTGTTTGGAGTTAGCTCTAACTCTTCAAAATATTCAAAGCACTTTCATAATTTTTCCTTGCAGACTCCTTTTGGTTCATTTGTAACAGCAAATTTCCCAAGACTTTATGACAATCTACTTTAAGGGGATGTTTTCCAAGGAACTCGTCCACTAAAGCTGTAGCTTCTTCATAGCAATCATTCTCCATAGCAATCAGTTCATTGAAACTTTTTACTTGGTGACGTTGTGTGCTCTGATATTTTCTTAAATAACCAAGCATGAGAAGCGACAAAATCACGTCAACTTTCGTCAAAGGGGTTCTCTCCATGTTTTGTTTCCTTAAGTCACGCGATTCTTCGATATTATTAGCAGCTTTTTCAAAATATTCTCGCTGTTTGTTGGGTTGCTCTTTTTTGTGTTTTGATTTGTTGAGATAGTATCGACCCAACTGGTATTTGAAATGTGCTTTCAGTAATCTTCATCTGGAAATTCACTTCTATTGAATCATCGATGACTTTCTCCATTTTTGAAATAGCCATCGGACAGCCATAACGATTTTCTACCTTCATGATCAACCAGAATGCAATCAAAATCAATCTTTTGTCTTATTTTCCCGTGCTCTTCTGCTAAGTCGGAGCAAGTTTGTACAAATTTGATCAGTATCTCTTCAGAAATGATGCCATTGATGGCCGTATTGAAAAAGAATCTGCATGACGATTGAAATAAATCGCTTGTCATCAATATTTGTGAAACTTGTTCATTCCTGGTACAGGTCGAAAGGACGTCTTCAATATTTCTTGCTTCTCTTTTGAGTATTTCTCTTCCATCAATGAAACCATCTTTTGAATAACTTTTCAGTGTTGCATTGTGACAAATTTCAAGGTAATGCTGAATGTGCTGAATGGATATATCATTTGCTTGTCCTTTAGGATCCATCCTTATGTGTCGAGTGTTCTTTTTAGGTTCTCTCCTCGGTCAAGTTACAACTTCAGATTATATTTTCTATTTTAAATGCAAAATGGTTTAGTTAATTTGTGTTCACGTCTGTTTGTTTCTCTGTATGTCGTGTTTTAATTCTCAATTCACAATAGCTTGTTTATCAATTTATTAGAAACTTTGGTTAAATTATACATGTTCATCGCATTCGTTTGGTTGTGAGTGTTTGTGACGATCGACTGATCGCCATTGATGGAATTTTGAAATTATGTTATTGCTGTTGACAAATCAAAGTTTAAAATTGTTTTTTCACGTCGTTCTTATGTTATTTCAATAATTATAAAGATGCTTTACCTGTTGTTGAACTTCCTCAAGTCTTGACTTGTCACACGTTTAAATGTTTCCTAATGCATCCGTCTTCAAATTCAATTTTCACATGATGCGCACTATTTATGATTTTGCTGAGTTGTAACCTAAGCAATTTTAGTTCTTATTTATCAATCGTATAATTAAATCCACGTGAAACACACAGCAAAATTTTGGAAGCATTCATTTTTTGTAATTATACAATAGTGGTGATTGCGAAATATTTCAGTTATGTATTGTATTTCTCGAGACTCATTAGTATGAGAATGTAAAAATCTTGTACATGTATATCCCAGAACCATTTTTACATGTATATCCTGCAGAACCATTTATTGTATGTATATCCTGCAGAACCATTTATTGTACATGTATATCCTGCAGAACCATTTATTGTACATGTATATCCTGCAGAACCATTTATTGTACATATCCTGCAGAACCATTTATTGTACATATCCTGAAGAACCATTATTGTTTTATCATACGAGAACAATTTTTACATCAGAGTTCATACATATATTTTATGTCAATTATGAGTAATTTGATGTGGAAAACTTTATTCCTTATATATTCCTTATATTCTTTGTCTGTTGTGTGATTTAAACCTCAATTTACAACTATATACATGTGTTAGTTTATATGTGTGAGATTGCATTCGTAGGGTACTAATATTGAGCGTTTGTGACGATGTTATGAGCCTCGCGTTCTTAGTCATGTTGCCACAGAAAGCGTCGAATCGATGAAACGAATAGAAGTGTTCTTGCGCTATATTTTATTATTAAATATTATATCTAAAATACGTATTCTTTATTATGAATACAAAAGCTCTACATTCAGCTTTTCTAAGCTGTCAATTTGCCACCAACTATTCATAGCGTCGATTTGATGTTGTAAACACGAGTCATCACTGTTGATGGAATTTTTATGTTATTGCTATAAAATTATGGTTTACATGCTTCTTATATTATGTTCATAATTATAAAGATGCTTTACATGTCATTGTTTTACCTCAAGTCTTGACTTTTCAAAGGTTTTAATGTTTCTTTTCTAACTACGATTTATTTACTTTCGCGTCTTCAACTAATTTCACATATTATGCACTTTTAAGGTTTTGCCGTTTTAGTAACCTAGGAAATTTCATTTATTATTAATTGATTGTGTATTAAAATCCACATGAAGTCCACAAAAATGTCGGAAGCCAGCAATGATCATTGCTCTTTTCAACTATTATTGTAAAGAAAATATTTTAATTATGTATTGTGTTAGTAAACAGTATTTATTATATATATCTCATCTGTCATCAATGTAAGGATGTTAAGATTTTGTAAATGCATATCCGGCGCTACTTGTTGTTTGTTCCATGAAAGGCAATCAAAGTCCTTATATACTTTATTGTTGTGTCTTCATCATGAGTGATATGATGTTTGAAACTTCACTTCAAATTACTCCAGTGTCGTGTTTTCATATTTTAAATTAATTTCCGTTGGGTCTTTGAGCAAAACTATATTTGAAGTAGATACCGAAATTCTAATATGCTGCCCAACTTTAATAAAATAATATTAACTCATGGAATATTAATTATACATTTTACAAGAGGTAAACAAAATCATTCAAAAAAATATCTTTATTAATTGCATATTGACTTAACTAGTAATATATGTATTTGAATTTTTTTTGAGGTACGATATTTCCACAACTGCGCGAATATTGAATTATTATCGATTTTTAAAATCACGTGATGTATATGTGAATAGTTTTTAACTATTATTTATACTTTTTAACATAAGACGCTAAGATTTGTGCACTTCATGACCACTATATTGGTATATTTATGATTGCAGTTTTTCTTTTATGAACAAAATGATACGAAATCATTTTAATTTATTGAAGTATGTTGAGATTTAATGTCGTTGGTTCTTTTCCAGTTATATTGTTGTCGAGCTTTCTCGATCAGGTCTTCCAAACCTAATTTATATTCTGCATTAATTTCGGACGCTCTCTGGAACATTTTGTTTCCTCTTTCATATTTCTGCAACTTCATCAAAGATGTGGCATACTTTTTGAGCAAGTATACCTTTCCTTTGTTTGGAGTTAGCTCTAACTCTTCAAAAACATTCAAAGCACTTTCATAATTTTTCTTTGCAGACTCGTTTTCTTCCATTTCTAACAGCAAATCACCCAAGACTTCATGACATTCTACTTTAAGGGGATGTTTTCCAAGAAACTCGTCTACTAAAGCTATAGCTTTCTGGATCATTTCTTCCCCTCTTTCATATTCTGCAACTTCATCAAAGATGTGGCATAGTTTTTGAGCAAGTATACGTTTCCTTTCTTTGGAGTTAGCTCTAACTCTTCAAAAACATTCAAAGCAATTTCATAATTTTTCCTTGCAGCCTCAATTTGGTTCATTTGTAACAGCAAATCACCCAAGACTTTATGACATTCTAATTTAAGGGGATGTTTTCCAAGAAACTCGTCCACTAAAGCTAAAGCTTCTTCATAGCAATCTTTCGCCATAGCAATCAGTTCATTGAAACTTTCTACTTGGTGACGTTGTTTGCTCTGATATTTTCTTAAACAACCAAGCATGAGAAGAGACAAAATTACGTCAAC